TCTAGTGATGGACGCTGAAGAGATCGGGAGAGCGCGAGAGCGAGGGAACGAGGGAGCGAGAAAGGGAGAGGGAGAGAGGAAGAGGGATGCAGCTCCGCTAGTGGCCGAGATAAATCAGGCCTTCGGCTTCCAGAACCACGCACAAGGCCTGCTGACGATGCAACAAGCTGTGGACTTAGCACCGTCAAGCGCCAAGTGGCATCACAAGTGAGGACACAGAGGCATGGGACATGCCCCATACAAAATTCTGCTCTGGGCTTTGCGCAAGCCTCCCGGCCTGCAGAGCCCCGTGCCGTGAAGACGAGACCCTTCGGATGGAAAAACGCGGGCCTCCTGTCAAAGTCAGAAGCATCACCTGTGCTAGCTCACACCTTGCCTGATCACGACGTTCCACGCAAACGATAGCCGATGAAACTGAACAGAGACCCAGCTAGCTAACGCTGACAAGGAAAAGTGGCCGTGCATATGGTCTAGGGCAGCGGACTTTTATTTAGACCCCTTACAGTTCTGGGGCAAACCCTCTACCCCTAGCCTGGACAGATAGGGTGTAGGCTGGGTAAGGGGCTATCTCCATCCAGTTGGCCTATGGAGCGGGTGCTAGAGGGAATAGGCTTGACGTGTGGGGGCCTATCCCAAAACGGATAGCGGAGAGATAGGGGTCTCTGGACGTCTCCCATAGAGGGCTACTCTTCATGCTCCTCTTCCTGACAAGAGGGGGTCATGTGGACGTGGACGTTTTGACCCTGCCTGCTCAGCTCCAAGCACCAACGAAGCATCACCTCTCGAAGAGGGGTCGGAAGGCAGAGAGGCCGAGAGCTGCACGAATACTGCACACATCTGCAAGGCTCGCCTTCTAAAAGGCCGAAGGCGTAAGACTCCTGGTGCTCGGGGATGTAGTCCGAGAGCCTGCGAGGTGCATCACACTATGTCACACTGATGATCCGTTACAAGTAGGCTTGAACCCGCACAGAATTGCGTGCCCTCTCCCGAAGCGCTGCATCTTATACCCTGTCTCTTGCTACGGGCACCTCAGCGGAGTCACACCGTCCTGGACGCAAACAGAAGCTCTGGCTTTCATCAAGAGCGATGCGGTGACCGAGTGTCCTCTTCGGAGGCTTCGGGACTCAGCCTCGGCTGGAGGCTCTATATAACTCGCCTCAGACCTTCACATGCAGAACACACTGAAACACTTAGCTGAATCCCACCTGCTTCAAGTACCTTTTCACTATTTTTCACTCAGACGCATGCACCGCAGTGCGGCTGTCGCGCTCGGGATGTTTGAGTTCGTGGCGAATTACGTCTCTGACATTTGTTCCGTTGCTCAAGACTGGGCTGCAGGCATCTCTGAGAGGCTAAGAGCCATCGGGGTGGAAGAGTCCTCCAGAACGAAAACGCACGAAAAGTGCCCACTCTTGTCTTGGCCTTGGGCACTCCATCAAAGCTCGGTGAAGCAGACGGGCTTTGGAAGCAAGCTTAGTCCTCTAGCTTCTCGAGGTGACCGCTCTCAACCTTCCCACTGCCGCGAAGCACGAAGCCAGAGGGGTTTGACCCCACGAATCTCGATTAGCAGCTGACACAAAATAATGTAGAGGGCACTCGACCCGCCTTCAGCTTCGCTGGGGCGAATGCCTCCTGGACTGCTTCGCTGAAATGCGCACAAGATGAACCACGAAGCCAGATGTATACACCCATGATGTCCGTCGACAAGCGTACAGCCGTGTCTCGACGCAGCACTCAAGCAGCTCTCAATGCTGACCCCTGCCTGTTCGCCGAGGCCTGCCATCAAACAGAACGAGCTCCAACTCATTCCACCGAATGATGGCATCACACTGCTAGCCTTCTAGCAGTTTGCTGGGGGTGAATGGCTTTGCACCAATGTAGTCCGAAAGCCTCGCGCAATCTCGCAGATGCACCGATTCAAGTCAAGCTATCCATCTCCAGCGGATTAGTGGTGCACCCTGAATGACCGCAAATCCGGCACCTCAGAGGGGTCACGCTGTCCTGAAACCCATGGGTCAAAAAAAATGGCAGCTCCGTCAGTGCCACGTCTCTGCATCGCACACCCAAAGCGAACTCCCTGACACGACGGGTCTCCTCGCCAGAACCATCGGGGCTCAACCTTGGGCAGGGATCGGTCGCCTAATTTCCTTCCGGGCTTCTCTACCTGCAGTCCCGTCATTCCGATGGCAGGAAGCCGAGCTTCATCCATTTCGGCCCTTGACGACTCTCGGATTCTCCACTGAGTCTAGGGCATGTCTGAGAGACTGAGAGCCATCGGGGTGCAGGTGTCCTCGATTTCCAGCAAAGTTTGAGGCTCGAGGTGAGATCTCTGGATTCAGCCTCTGCGGCTTGGGGAAAGCAAAAGCTCGGTCCTCGAACTTCTCCGGGGAGCTCTCAGCCTTCCGTGGAAAGCCGAAGCACAAGAGCACGCAGGAGTAGGCAGGACCCGCTCGCGATCGCTCGCGCGGCCTTGAGTTTCGCTGGTGTTTCCGCCTCAGTGCCAAACCCTCTCCAGCAGAGGGCACCAGGCCGTATTGTGTGCTGCACGACGTGTTAAATGTAGTGTACTAGGTGCTGATGCAAACGCTAAGCTCTGAGCAAGCATGGCAAGTGTCGGAAAAATCAACGTTACACCCCAAAGAAAACAATCGAAAAATTCAGGTGCGCACCAGGCCAATTGAGGCCACCGGGCTCGGGTCCTTGATGCAGTTTCAGAGCCATCGTCAGTTGGGACGGGGGTGAGGTAGAGAGGATCAACAACAAGCGCCTCATTGCTGTGCTTTTAGCAAAGCTCCAAGCCGGATCTCAAGTGTCTTCCTCCTGTCTGCCTTTCCGATTCCTCCTCTGCCTTCGCTGGTGCCCTTGTAGGCAGCCGGCCAAGCCAGGCGGTGGCTTGAATGTGGGCACGGAGTCTGCGCAGCCAGGAGGGAAGGGGGGTACGGGGGTACTCGGTCTGGCTTACAGCGCTGAACACAATGCCTCCTCCCAATGCAGACGTGGGCGACGGCGCCACCTTCTGCGGCTCCTCTGCTCAGGAATGCTCAGGAACAGAAGTCATCGGCGACGTGAGATGCCCACGGAAATCGAAACTTGTGGGGGTTCCGGATCCAGTCGAGTCACTTGCAGGTTCCCGGGCATGTCCGGTAAATCGAGAGCACGCGCTTCGGGAAGGTCCACTTTCCTCAGAGGCGCATATTCGCGCTGGACAAGGTGTGGCAAAGTGTGTGCCCGTTATCTCTTTGTACTTGTACATACATTACTTGTGCCATGTGCAGGACATCCAGCCACAATGTAAGACGGGTGCACGTTTTTTTGCAAGGAAACAAGTCTTCGTCAACACGGCCTCACTGCCTATCAGTTTGGCAGAGAGGCAGTGGCTCCAGCGGCACGGACATGGGGAGGTTCCAGCTCACATCTGCCTTGCAAGCTGCGCTAGGCTTTCTCCACTGCGAACTCACTCCGCATAAGCCGGCACAATGCCACAAACCCCATGGAGCGTGCAACGTGAAAAACTGAAAATGCAGGGCCTGCTCGTCTTCCTTGGCGTGCTTGTCCTTGGCCTTCCTCAGCGCGGAGGTTGCATCCAAAACCGTGTTCCCATTTCCGACACACTACATGCAGTTCGTCGTTCGGAGAACCCACAGAGACCTCTGTGGTGTGTTGTGAACGGTGATGCACAATGCAAATGAGGCATGCATTTGCAGCTTCGAATCTTCCGCTGACGAATTTCACCCATCGGGCAAAGGTGGCAGTGGCGGCACTCTGCGCCATTCTGGCCTCAGATGCGATGTTGATCTATGCTTGAGGAAGGTGGATGCTGTTCTCTTCCTTGCCAGTGTCGGCCGTCGGCCCCGCTTGCGTGAAAACCTGCACTCCGCCTTACTTGCAGCTTTGTGGCAGCCCTTCGGCTTCCAGAACCACGCGCAAGGCTTACCTTCGCAAGCATCGTGCGGTACTCGCACTTGGCAGGAGGTGGTTGCAGCACGCATTCGAAGGTGCTGGCAAAAGCCTATAAAGCCTAGCCTTTAGGACCGGAGGCTCTGTCAACCTTCATCTCTGTGTCTCGGAAGTCCCCGAAACATAGTGCAGGCTAGTGCGCACTCTCCAGTGCCATGAAGGGCTGATCCCACCGACGGCGCGGGTTTGCGATCGGGGACCTCCGAAACATCCAGACCTACCTCATGACAAGTCAACAGGACAAGTCTGCTAGCAGCTGTTCTAACATGCAGAAGAAATCTCCACCGTGATCCGAGCAGGTCCAGCTGATGCCTCCAATCCTACGACACCCTCCGCGAACCTCGGCTTCGGAATCCTCCTGCCACGACGACGGCACACAAAGGAAGCTCCCCAAAAACTGGCGTGGACAAGATCAGATCAAAGAGCGCAACCGACCACTGAGGATGTCGTCAAAGGGACGCTAGGCTGCAAAGGGCGCCCTCAGCCTGATGAGCACTATGGTACGGCCTGGAGACCAGATACCACATTTGATGCCTTTCCGTCAAGCGTCAAAACTCGCACCCTTGCGCAAATCTGAATCCTCAGGCTAAACGCCCCTTGCTCTGTGCTCATGGCAACCTCCCAGCCTTGCACCAGAGCCCAACCGCCGGCCTTTCCCAACTTCGGCGACGAGGCACTGAAGGGAGAAGGTGAGGTCGGACTAGCGCCACCTCGGCATGAACGGCAGCTTCGGAGTGCTCTTGAGGATGGGCTGTTGCCGCGCTTAGGGGAAGAGATCCCTATTTTGTCCGTTTCCAGCCACCCCTTCTTCGAGACATGCTCCTGTGCTCCATGCGGCACAGAAGTTGTATACTCGTTTAGCTTGTCCCGATGACTGCTACCGAAAGCCACACAGCCTTCAAACTTGCGACTCTGTCATCATGAAACCCAACCAGTAAGCATTTCACTCACAGCACAAGAGCCACAACAATGCCGACTGCAACACACTTGTTACAGTCCTCCGTTGCCAGGTATGAGTCTAATCTATTCGAGCAGAAGCCCACCTCGCATGGCAGCCAACTTGGCCTTTTTCCTGCCAGGCATTCTTTGTAGCACCGAGGAGTACTGACTTCTTCTGACAATGCCGACCAGGACAAGGAAACAAGGCACCAGCTTCTTGCAACTTGACATGCGAGCCCGCGGTATTTCAGAACACATCAGAGCTGGGCCATATCTGTATGGGAGTCTTACAACAAGTCCGCTTGCTCAGCTACACAAGCAGGGATTCGGAAATGAAAAGCAAGACCCTGTAGATGGACCCTGTCCTGAGCTTCACTTCACCTTCTGGACAAAGATGGCAGTATCCACCTAAGGTCAGAAGACCAGCGCCGATCCAGGGCCCCAAGGCCCCACATTGCTCAAACTGAAATTGTTGACAGTGGCAGACGCACCCTTGAGGTCGCCGCATTCCTTTCCACGCAAGCAGCCTTGGGGCTTCCAGTACCAGGCGCAGGGGTTGCACCTTAGCTTGCAACAAGCTGGCAACCATCACCAAAGGTCCGGGCCCCCCATGGTTGGGCCCGCGCTCTCCCCCGCCGTGGTGCCTTGATCCAGGCGTCTCTGCGCCTGGCCGGCAGCCGCAGGGGGGGAAGGGCTCCGGGGCTCCGCTCAGAGCGAAGCGGCGGCCGGCAGAAGGGGTCGGCGCTTGCTTACAAAAGACGCTTAGAAGCAGAAGCGACGTGAAAAGCAGAGCGTCCCTCCGCGGCCTGTGGGAGAGGCAAGGCCCGGGGGCTCGGAGACCTCCTTGTCGTTCTCCGAACTTTGGGCTCCAGCTTCCTGCAGGAGAGCAGAGTTACAGGAGCCTTGTCGTGAAAGCGCAGGGTCGAAGTGGCTTTGAGGCTGTGGCGAATCTTAAGTGTCGAGAGGCCAAAGGCAGCTTTGGTCCAGCCCTGGCCGAAGCAGCTAAGGACTGCTCTGCAACACCCCAAACTACTCCCCGAACTCCGGACCCCCTACTAAGCCCTGCGGCTGCAGCAAAGCTGGCTTCGGTGCTATTTATGGGTTTAAACCTGAGCTTGCATGCGCTTTCCTGGGCTTGCACCCGAATGACTGGAGCGCTAATTGTGCCTGCTGCACCGAAATGGCAACACATCGAACACGTGCAGCCACTGCTTCAACCACTTCGAGGCTGCAAGTACCGGGTATGTATGTATATATATATATATACATACATCACCAGGATTAAAGTTTCGTCGCACTTGGCTACACCATCTTGCGGAGGACGCGGAGTACGGAGAAGTGCGTTTTACGTGGCCTGGCTAGCGGAGGAATTAATCCCCTGGAATAAAATTATACTACTATAATGTTCCAGA